GTATGTCTACTTAAAAACAGTTTTCAAAATCTTTTTGGTAACTTGAAACCTTAAAGTTATACTGAGATAAATAATGGATATTCATGGACTATCTAGATCAGTTTCCAAATAAGATAAAAATACTGAGGGGTGCCTGGGTGGCTCAGTTGGTTGAGCGACTGCCTTCGGCTCAGGTCATGATCCTGGAGTCCCGGGATTGAGTCCCACATCGGGCTCCCTGCTCAGCGGGGAGTCTGCTTCTCCCTCTGACCCTTCCCCCTCTCATGCTCTATCTCATTCTCTCTCTCAAAATCTTAAAGAAAAAAAGATAAAAATACTGAAACGTTGGGGTGCCTGGGTGGCTCAGCCGGTTGAGCATCTGACTTTTGGTTTCGGCTCAGGTCATGATCTCAGAGTCGTGTAATCAAGCCCTGGGTGGGGCTCCACACTCAGCCGGAAATCTGCTTGAGATTCTCTCTCTCCTTCCCCCTCTGCCCCATCTCCTGCTCACTAATTAATGTTTCAGTATTTTTTTTTTAAAGATTTATTTATGAACAAAGGTTTACCACTTTTGCTTTCCTTTTATAGAAGAGATAAAGACATTCGGCTCTATCAGTAAACATGTTTTGTGCTGTGTTGCAAAATTTACCAAGAGGAAGAATATGCTTTTAGAAACTGAAAATGTATCTATAAATTTGCCAATCCGCAGAACGCTAGCTTAGCAGTCCACAATTGCTTACTTCTTCATTTTCGCTAGGAATGAAGGATCCTAAGGGTTACAAATTCTAATCAATGCATATAATGAAACCTACTTAGAAATAATAAGGGTGGGGGTGCCTGGGTGGCTCAGTCAGTTAAGCATCAGATTCTCAATTTCTGCTCGGGTCATGATCTCAGGGTTGTGAGATTGAGCCCTGCCCTATGTGTGCAGCCTGCTTAAGATCCTCCCTCCCCCCCCCCCCCCCCCCCCCCCCCTCCCCCCAACCCCCTCCCTCCCCCCCCCTCTAAGGGAAAAAAAAAAACAAACAAGGAAAACCTGCATATGGAAAGTAGGTAAGGAAAGTAAAATGACTGGCTAAATTTTCAAGAATTAAAGGAGAAAATCCAGGACAAAATCGGAATGGATAGAAAAAAGTTGTAGAAAGTTTGTGGAAAAGGAATCTTGGGAAAGGAATTTAAGTGTGGTGAAGCTGGCTAAGCTAAAATTGGAATATAAAGTTTTTTTAAAAAATGAGTTTTAATATCAAAAATACAGATACAAAATCAGAATTTGGTTTTCTCTGTTAAAAGGACAAAATTTCCTTAGATGATTGTTCTGCTAATAAGAAACTGCAAAGGTTGTTTTGTGGGGTTCTTTTTTTTCCCAACCTTTGGACAGGAAAGATTTTCTTCTTTCCCAAATTACTAACTCTGCTTTACACTGTCTTTATCAGGTCTTTGATTACTTAAGAAAACCCAGTCTTGACAATATTGAAAGCTTTTGTTCACAACTATATAACCTGTATTTACCTCAACATCTTCTACTGTCACTTTCACTAGAGTTGTTTCATATAATTATCTGTTATCCTATTTAATCGAATGTTCAAACCTTTTGACATTTTCTTAAAATTCTCAATAGTCTTTTTGACCTCAAACTAACTTTGAAATTTTCCCAGAGGGCTTCTGGAAAGTCTCAAAGGCTCTCTCTCATTAATTCAACATGTTAAAATATGTGGGAAGCATTGTCAAATAACCTTAGGTTATATGTGTATGGATATATAGTACTAACAGAAGTAATCCAGAAATTGCAGTTTCTAGGTATTTGTCAAAACTCTCATTGTCCATTTATTACCCTAAATGATGAAATAACTATATTTCCTTCTCCGATAAACTCATCAGATCATTAACCATGGGCATTTTTAAAGTCTTGTCACTTACAGTCACTTTACTCTGATGCTTTTGTAAAAGTGAGATTCGTGGAAAGGACCCTACTAAGTACTCTGACTACTGACACTGCTGCCAAGTGAGAAGGTGCAGATTTCGCAGGAAGATGGCTCCACCGGACATCTAGTCCTGTGCAAACGGCTGGAGACCTCAAAAGAAAAGTGACCAGGAAGAGAAGTAGCCAACATTGAGGTAGACCACTTCCTCCCAAGACGTGGGGCCAAGAATGTTTCTACTCCTTCCCTGACCATCCTTTCCCTAAGTCTACCACCATGAAGGTCTTTAGGGTTCTTTTGTTCACCTTTTGCCTTGCCTCTGGCCCAGAAACTACCTTGTTCACATACCTTAAGCAGGTAATCAATGTTTAAACAACTCTTGGATTTGCCACGATGCTGGTGATCCTACAGTTCTGTCCATCACAAACTTCTGATTTCCAATGCCTTGGTTTCTTTGGAACAAGCTCGGCCCCTCTCAGTCCCATCAGGCTCCCTAACCCTCAGGGTCCATCTCCCTATCTCCAGTTAACAACCCCAAACCTGGGGAACCTTGCATCCAGGCTCTGGACCAAGAAACAGATACGAGACGCTACCCAGAATAAAACGACCGGTGCAGTCTATAGATCCTGAAATTGTACTGGCCTCCATGGCTGTCAGCTGTCCAGGCCCGAGCCACAGACTCAAACTGGATTTCCCAGGAAGCATTCAGGATTCCAAATTCACTCCCTTCAACAGATTCTCCTCTTCACCTGGCTAAGCGTTAAGTGCAAATGAGACTATGATCAGAACTTAACTCCTGAAGATACTGAAGAATCTGCTGCTAAAAGCAATAGCTGCCCCACAACAATAAGCAAACCCTGGCTCTCTCCCCTGAGAGATTCTTGAAACCGGGAAGGCCCTTGGTTATCTGTCAGCTGAGCAAGGAGGGGTCTGTGCTGTGGCCAATGACACTTGCTACATTTGGGCTGACACCTGTGGAGAAGTGGAGACTCCGCTACCTAAGATCTGTGAACATGCCAGTTGGCGTAAGTGACTCCTACAAACAGGTCTTTGTTGACTGATTCGGGTCTTGGGGACCATGGCTCCAGAGTGCGCTCCAGATATTGGGAATTATCCTTAGAATCCTAGTAGCTCCCTGGTGCGCTGAAACTCTCAAAAGCTTTAAATCCATGTCTGCCGCCACTTACCACCATGCAGATGATCTCCCGAAGAACAGAGTATCAGAAAAAGAACAGAGAATGACCAAATTAAAGAATGTGAACGCAACACTGGGCGGAAACTGCAAGAACACCAGAATGGTAGCGAAAAGGAGCGCTAATGCCTTAAATTTTGATCCCATCTCTCAAGGCTGAGAGTCTCATCAAAAGGGAGGTTATTGTTAGAAACAAGAGGCCCCAAACAGGGTCACTTATGCTAACCCCCCCCCCATGTCAGCAAACACAACTTAATCACAGGTCCAGCGCTCCCGGCAATGGAATCAATCAGGAATCACTTAATCGATACTAGTTAATTGGCCTGACAGACCCCTGCCAGCCCCTAAAAGGAAAGCGACTACAATAGCCTACCAGCTCTTTTGCCAAGTCGGGCTGACTGACCTGTGCATTGTTTCGAAAGGCTCTTTGCAGTGTAAGCAGGACATCGCTCATGGAAGAAGCCGCCGCCCCGATGCCAGTCAGCTGTGCTGCACGATCACATGCTCCCTCAGCAAGCACCCACTTGGGGAAGGAGGACAGCACAACCTCACGACCAGCAGGGGGCATCAAGTCCACCGAGGTGAGGAGCAGATGGCAACTGAAAACACAAGGCTGGTGCACTCTTGGACCTCAAAGAAGTATCAGACCGACTCCTGGTCAGCCACAGGGTGCTAACTATTTCAAAGAAAGAATATCTACAAATAAAACAAGACGCTGGGGTTTTGTTGTTGTTGTTGTTTTTTCTTCAAATGGCTGTTGAATTTATTTGCTTGATCAATAATGGTCCTGGAAAAAATTACTTAACCAACGCTGAGACAACTGTAATGAAATACTAATTTTAAAAATCATGACACCTTGATAGAAATTAGAGTTCACACAAACAAAAAAGAAACCTTCACTATTGCCAGCAAATATGAAATAATGTAATATGACTGACAGGACAGCAAGAAGGCTTTTATACGTTTATATTTGACACCTGACCATATTTTCAGTCACCATAATATCTTCTCTCCAGATTTAAAAAAATAGTATGCTGATTTCTATAACAAAGCTTTTTTTCGTACAAAAATCAAACAATGGCCAACAAGTCACAACAGTGCAATAGGTAGAGAATAAAAAACCGCATCAAACAGGTGCTGAAAATAAATAGTAGGAGAGGACAGAGCCCTCGTGGGGGGTTTGCTTCCATCACCTTGAGTGTGTGGGGTCTGTCTGCACAGCCATGAGAGCTGACCTACCTCATGGGTGCCACTGATTCCGACAGAGCGCGACTGAACAAAGGTGCCTGAGCTGACCTCTCAGATGCCTCAGTCACCAGAGAAGTTGCAGAAGCAAGAAAATAGGGTCGGGAATCACAGCTATCATTTAAAGGAGAAGTTGTTTTTTTTTTTTCTATTGCTCAATCTTGTCAATTGGGAGTCCATCAGCAGGTTCACTGAGATGATACGGGTCATTGAAAACTTTTGTTTAAGAGCATATATGGCTTATTCAGGCAAAGAGACTTTTACATTCTAGCCCAAGCAAGCAATCTCGGTCATTCTGTGTTTAATGGCAGATGAGTCACACAGAAGATGTCTGGGTTCAGAAACAGATCCTCTGTGTGGATGCCTCAGGCCAGGCAGCTACCTTTGACCAACCCAGTGAAAAGCATGTGCTGATCAGCAAGAGCGAGGTGGCTACTCCTCCACGGGGGGGTCAGGAGGGGGGGCAGTGGGCAGGCTCCACCGGCAGCTCTGTCTGTGACCGGCTAGGCCATCCTGTGACTCAGGCTCATGGACTGTGGGTTAGGACAGTCAAAGGAGAGGGTGACAAGGGTGGGTAAAGGTAACCTCAGTAAGAGCCGTTCTGGCCAGTCAGGAAATATGAGGCAGCTCCCCATTATATAATCTGCACCAAAAAGGTGTAAAAGGCACAAGCAAGAGTGACTAGTAAGCAGAGATCCCGGAGGGTGAGACTATGGGGCAACCCACAAGGCAGGAACAGTATTTACCTTGTTTGGTCCCCCCGCCCTTGAACGAGAGAAAGAGATCCTGATTCTGCTGTAATAAAAAAGCAAAGAAAGACGATTTTTGGTTTAAAAAGAAGCCACTCAAGGGTTAAAATAGTTTTAAGTTAACAAAGAAAATTAATCTTCAAATAAGCTGACACTATCTGGAAAACTCATCTGTCCCCTACAAGCCCACACTGCGTGCACTGCTTTGTCCTCCCATGTAACCTGAGCCTGACGCGGAGAAGTCATACGTGTGAAAAGAAGGAAGAGTCTGCGAAGGAAAGACATCTTTACAGAATGTACAGCAGAGAGTTGTGTGCTGCGACTCTCAGGGTTACAGTAAGATGCACAGGTCTCGTTGGGTCTGGGGATCCCGTGTCTCTCGGGCTGCTCAGATGGGTGTCTCCTTCCTGTCTCTGCCCGGGGACGGCTTGGCCTGCTCCTTGCCCACCTTCGGCTGCTCCAGGGCGCCGTCTCTGGGCGGCTGCAAGGCGCCCGCCCACCTCTCAGGCTCGTCGTCGTCCTGCGCCTGCGGCTCGGGCTTGGCTCGCTGCAGCTGGAGCAGGCGCAGCTGCACCCGCAGTTCGATGATGGCCTCTCGCTCTTCGTGAATTGCTTGATTCAAATGATTGTTCTTTATCTTGAGGAATGACAAAGGAACAGTTGTCACGGAAGCAGGAAGGGCAAAAGGACAATGATTCAGAAACAGGGAACAGTTAGCAAGGGTATCCTACACAAGAATCTATGTTTTAGTCAACTTAGTTGCAAAACATCAGACGAGAACATGAATATGCAAATGAGACACGTAAACACCTTGACCCAGAATGCACAAAATTCTGCTCAGTACAGAAGACTAAATGCGTCTGGGAAAGATAAATGCACCAACAGAAAACAATTTGCTTAAGGATATTAAATATTAAATATTTCAGTGTTTAAAACAGGTTTAACTTATGGGCTCCGGACCAGCCCTTAAGTAAGTGGAAGATAGAAGTGACTGTACCAGCAAACAGAGGGGAAGTTAGAGACAAGATAAAATCCCAGACTTGTCTCAAAAGTGGATGTGCTTTGTCTTTTGTGAACGGCATTACTTTATGTCTGAACCGGGCTACTTAGGCAAACTAGAGAGCTATCAGTTCTACATTACTGCACTCCTTCAGCAGAGCCAAGGCAGAACAGTAGCTAATCCCAAACTCTGACCTCCCGAGGCGGTGGCCTTCGCACGCAGCACGTGTCTCCCGGCCTACCCCCAGCTAGCTGTGGCCAGGGGCCTCTGCTGACAGGGTGTGAGCAGAAGCGCTGGCTTCTACTTGTGCCACTTGCCCTTAACCACCAGGCCTTCTTGGGTTCCTTCCCCCTTCCTGCTAGGAGTGGCTAAGACCTAAGGGGCTACTCTGGACCCCAGGTGTTTTCCACTCACGTGGAAGGTGGGAGACCTAGATGTCTGTCTGCCAGGGGAGGCATAGAACTGTCTTGTTCAAACCACGAGAGAGTATTTTCTTTGTTACAGCAGCTAAGCCCGTATCCTAAGTACTACAATTCTGGAATGTTTTCCTATTTAGGATTTTCATATGATCTGTAAAATGTTAAGAAAGCAAAATAGAGTGCCAACATGACACCCTTCTAAAGAAGGGAAGCTACATGGTGGCCCAGGCCCCACCCGCTGCTCCACTTCTCCCACAACACACCCCTGGCTGCCGCGAGTGTTCTGGGACCTGAGCCTCGGTGCGCTGCCCCTCTCAACCCTGTCCACAGGACTTACTGTTGGTGTGGAATTCTAGTTTTCTACGCACTGGGTGGCTCTGATCTGCCCCAGAGGCTGAATGCACCGGGATGAGAGAAACAAAGTTGTCCCACCATTCTTAGAATCTAAGACAAGAATGGCTTTCTCTCAACCCTGAGGTAAAACATCTGGAGACAATGATTAATCTGGGGTAAGAAGGGAAGTTCTGATCAGGATCATGTAAATCTCTTGCTTTCATTTCACCATGCACTTGCCTCCCAGATCCCTAGGGCCAAGTTTATTCACACTGGCTGCTTCAAGGGTTAAGGGACAAGAGAAAACTTTGTCCCCATTTTCCCACAGGTGAGTCAGGAGACTTTTCCTTCCTCCACCAGCATTTCTCTTTCTGTTCATCTCTGGGAAGTTAGCCCAGATCTTCCACAACTGTTCAAGGACAGTCAGGTGGGGCTCCCCATAAGTGGAAGGGAAAGGTCACCACACCCAGGGATGCACAGTGAGGTCACACCTGTGCTGTGTGCTTGGCCAGGACCAGCTCACGCCTTGCACACTCTGGTGAGATGTCCCCTAAACTCCTCTCTACTCAGCCTCCCCGCTGTTTCCCAAGGAAAGGAAGACGACTTCTAAGGGAAAGAGGTGGCTTCTACAAGTTTTGGGAAGCTGGTGCTCACTTCTAGCTCTTCGTTCTGCCTCTGTAAGTCCTCCAGGATGATCTGAAGCTCCTCTTCGTCCTCACTCTCACTCTCACTGTCGGAGGAGTACTCCTCGGTCTCACTGCGGCCATGCTGCTGACGGCTGCGGGCGGGAGGCCAAGAGAAAAGGACCGGTGAGCAGAGGAAGGAATGCTGCTCCCTTCCTACCCTTCTTTTAGATTCACCAGCTTTTCATGAACTGGCTTAATATAGCACCATTCTCAAGACTTAATCAAGAAGAAACTTAGGGGCGCCTGGGTGGCTCAGTCAGATGAGCGTCCGACTCGGCTTCGGCTCAGGTCATGACCTCAGGGTCATGGAATCGACCCCTGGTCGGGCTCCATGCTCAGCAGAGAGTTTACTTGAGATTTTCTCTCTCCCTCTCCTCCTGCCAACTGCATACACTCTCTCTCTCTCAAATAAATCTTAAAAACAAAGAGAAAGAAACTCAAAGACAAGGGATTTGGATGCCTAGTTCTTTTGTATGAAAGTTTGAGAGCTGAAACAATTTTATGTTTATATTTAACTAAACATTCTTGCAAACTTAAAACCCTCTGCTTCCCTTTACCTCTGAATTTCAGCAATCTCAGCTCTGAGGCGTTCAATCTCTTCTTTTTCTGAGGCAATCTGTCGGCGTAAAAACTGCTCCATGGCCAGAAGCTCCTCCTGTTCAGTTAGGATCTCATTCTCCTGAAATAATGATCACTGGTGAACACCTTTAAGAGTATGAGTCTAGGAAATGTCACTTTTGTGGGTTCTCCTATGTTCCCTTGAATTCTTTAGCCTCATACATACATACATAACACAAGTTATGGGGAAGCTTGGACTGCAAAGCTTGTAACCTATTTCCTTAATGTCAAGAAAAGGATCTCTGAGAAAAGGATGTCTAGATTTTTCTTAAGACATAAAATGCCACCTAGGAATCCCATGTCCTCGTTTTGCAAAGCTTCCCTATGAGGCCATCACACTGGGCACAAAGCCAAAGGTCAAGTGACTATGTCTGTTTTTGAGTCTCAGTCCCTCCTGAATGCCTTCCCACCTCTCAGTAAAGGGACTATCTATTTCAGGGTCAAGATGGCCCTTGACAGTGCACTAGGAGAAGGACCCAGGAGGTACACAGCTGGTGTCAGTAGCACCTGAAAGCAGATCTAGTAAAGGGAAGATGTTCCCAGAAGAAATCTTTTCTCCTCACCAAAAGCCACCATCCTCCTCAACCCAAGTCCCCGGAGATGATAAATTGTAAATATTCTGCTTTCACAGAATATGCATTTCTAAAACTGAATCACCAAAGGGGGGGAAAAACCCTACCTGTCCAAGATGTACTTAACCCCTCCAACCTAGAGAAAAGAACCAAAGCAGAATTTCAGAGGCAGAAATGTATGGCTATGAAAACGAGGAGTTGGAGGCAAAGGTCTACAGCATTTCCTTCCCAACCCCTAGGTATCCAGATAAGCACCTGTGATCGAACCTGAAAGACACTGTGGTCAAGTTCTAGAGGGAACTAATTGAAGCCCCTGGCAAGCATGAGCAAGCTCTTGGAGATGCGATATGCAATGATCCTTCTCCACGGGTTTCTAAACACAGATGTTTTCCCTTTACCCCAGTGCACCTAGTAAAGCTAATGTGCAGAGAAATATCAGACTGGAAAACTATGAAATAAAGACATAATCTGGGACTTCATCTTGTCTTCAGGGGAAGAGCTATGTGTCCCTGGCAGGCAAAACAGTCTTTCTCAAGTGACAGAAAAGGACTGGAACTTGTCCAGCTTTAGGTAGCCCACATCCATGGATCTCTGGGAGTACAGACTCTGCTGTCAGAGCCTAGAATTTCATTCATTTCTGGTTAAAGTCTGGAATATTCCAGAACAGAGTAAGATTGACTTAAGAAATTCAGAGAGAGAGAAAGGAGTTCATGTTCAGCTCTATGCCTAGAACAATAGATACTCAAGAACTATCTGTCAAATCAATGAATGAATAATAAAACAACTCATCTCCAACAACCCTCAATCACAAAGAATAAAGTCAAAATATCTAAACAGATATTATCAGCAACAACAATCAGATAAAATCTATACCATTACATTTCAAGGATCCCAAACTTTGTGGTCAGGAAGAACAGGTTTTAAAATATTTATTGAAGTCCAGTCTCATTAATATGGAACAAGTACAACTAATCTATAAGTTGGGGAAAACACCTATAAATCAGACCTGTGTGCAGATAAAATGAAATTAAGTAAAGCACCTAGAACAGTGTCTAGTAAAAAGTAATCAGTAGAAGGTAGTTTCTTTCTCCAGCTGAACACTTAAGCAAACACCACATAAAGGAAGGACCAAATACAACAGGCATGATCCCTCTAAGGCTGCCATATCATCTTACAAGTTTCTTTAAAAGATTTACACCTATGTAGTTGAGCTTCTCAAATTTAATAAATGATGACCACTAAGAGTCTTGCAACACTCCTGAATAAGCAACAGATCAAAGATGAATCAAATTATCTAGAGATGAATCAAAGTTGAAACACAACGTCAAAAGTACGGGATGCAGCAAAAGCAGCTCGAAGAGGGAAGTTTATGGTATAAATGCCTTCATTAAAAAAAAGATCTGAGGGCGCCTGGGTGGCTCAGTCGTTAAGAGTCTGCCTTCGGCTCAGGTCATGATCCCAGGGTCCTGGGATCGAGTCCCACATTGGGCTCCCTCCTCGGCGGGAAACCTGCTTCTCCCTCTCCCACTCCCGCTGCTTGTGTTCCTGCTGTCTCTGTTTCTGTCTCTGTCAAATAAATAAATAAAATCTTTAAAAAAATAAAAAAATTAAAAATTAAAAAAAGATCTGAAACAACCTATCTCTATACCTCAAGGAACTAGAAAGGAACTAGAAAAAGAACAAACTAACCCTAAAATTAGCAGAAGGGAGGAAATGATACAGATCAGAGCAGAAATAAATGAAATAGAGACTAGAAAATCAATATAAAAGACCAATAAAACTAAGAGTTGGTTTTTTTAAAAAACAAAAGTGGCACATCTTTAGCTAGAGTAAAAGAGAGAACTCAAAACTATAAGTGAAAGAGGAAACACTACAATGGATACCAAAAAAATAAGGAACATTATAAGAGACTACTATAAGCATTTATACACCAACAAACTGGATAACCTAGAAGAAATGGATATGTTCTTAGAAACATATTAGCTACCAAAACTGAATCATAAAGATTGAGTATCTGAACAGAGCAGCACAAACATTGAATCAGTAATCAAAAATTGCCTAACCAAGCAAAAACCAGGACCAGATGGCTTCACAAGTGAATTCTACCAAATATTTAAAGAAATAATGCCAATCTTTTTCAAACACTTCCAAGAAAACTTAAAAATGCTCCCAAACATCCTTTTACAAGGCCAGCATTACCCTTGTCCCAGAGCCAAAGACACTACAAGAAAGTTACAGGCTGATATCCCTGATGAACACAGATGCAAAAATCCTCAACATACCAGCAAACCAAATTCAACATTAAAAAGATCACACAACATGATCAGGTGGGATTTATCTCTGGAGTGCAAGGATAGTTCAACATGAGCAAATCAATAAATGTGATACACCACACTGACAGAATGAAAGATAAAAATCCTACGATCATCTCAGTAGATGCAAAAAAGAATTTGACAAAATTTTTCCAAAGTCTTAACAAGCTGGGTATAGAAGGAACACACATCAACATAATAAAGGCCACATATGGCAAGCCCACAGGTAACATACTCAACAGTTAAAGGTTAAAAGCATTTCCTCTAAGATCAGAAACAACACAATCATGACCACTCTCACCACTTCTATTCACTATTTAGTACTGGAAGTCCTAGCCAGAGTAATTAGACAAGGAAAAGGTATCCAAATTGGAAAGAAGTAAAACTGTCTCTGTTTGCAGATAATGTGATCTTATATATAGAAAACCCTAAAGACTCTACCAAAAACAATAAAAAACAAAAAAACCTCTTAAAATAAACCAATTCAGTAAAGTTGCAGAATATAAAATCAATATATAAAAATCAGTTGTATTTCTGTACTAGCAAACTACCTGAAAAAGAAATGAAGAAAATTCCATTTACAATAGCATCAAAAAATAAAATACTTAGAATAAATTTAACCAAGAAAGTGAAAGATCTATTGAAACTAAAACACTGATGAAAAAAACTGAAGACAAAAATAAATGGAAAAATATCTCATGTTCATAGATCAGAAGAACTAATATTGTTAAAATGTTCATACTACCCAGAGATCTAAAGATTCAAAATTGCAATGGTGTTATTCAGAGAAATAGAAAAAAATCCTACAATTTATACAGAACCAAAGCAGACTGTTAATAGTCAAAGCAATCCTGAACAAAAGGAACAAAGTTGGAGGTATCACACTACCTGATTTCAAAGTATACTGATTGCAAAAGCTTTAATAAAACAGTATGGTACTGGCAGAAAAGAGACCAGCAGAGGGGAACAGAGAGCCCAAAAATAAATCCACACATTTATGGCCAACAGATCTTTGCAAAGGTCCAAGAACATGTATAGGGAAAGGACCATCCCTACAATAAATAGTATAGGGAAACTTATCTTCCACATGCAAAAGAATAAAACTGGACCCTTATCTCACTTCATATATATGAATCAACTCATAATGAATTAAAGATTTAAATGTAAGAGGGGCAGAGATGTAGGAAACCTGGATTTCCTCTGTCCCAGGAATTCAGCTAGATAGGGATCAAACCGTTCTGAGCACCTATGAACTCAAAAGAGATCAAAGAAAATAATAGCAACAACTCTCTGAACAGAAAAGTGACCACTTTCTGGAAGGTAGGATGTGCGAAGAAGTGAATCCGAGGCGGTATTCGGGAGGATAGACGGCAGGGGAGGGGGTGTCCGTCGGCCGCTTCTGGCAAGTGACAGAGCCACGGAGCACAAAATCGGACCTTTTAGAAGTCGGCTTCGCAGAGGGACGTCACTCCAGTGGCTAAGCGGGGAGTGCAACCCTCGCTGGACAGTGTGGTCTCAGGACCCTCGGGGACACAGAAAGACCGGGAGTGACTGAGTGCGGCAGAGCTCCCAGGTATCGGAGCAGGGAAGCCGGCTTCAGAGATGGAGCCGAGGCGTGGGCTCTCAGCTCAGGGTTGCCATAAACTGTGATCCGCTGCACAGTCGGGCCACTGCTCCTCCAGCAGGGACCCAACAAGCTGCAGATCCGGGAAGACGCCCCTTCTTTCCCCCGGAGGAGCGGCGCAGGGGCGCACCGCAGGGATCTGCTGGGTTTGGAGACCACATGGGGTCGGGTGCCAGAGATACAAACGCTCGGTCACAGGCCGGGTGAGCATGGAGTGCGGCCGGAGACCAAGGAGATGGCAGTGATTGACTGCTTTTCTCTGGGGGCGCACTGAGGAGTGGGGACCCGAGTTCTCCACTCCTATGGAGCAGAGACTGGGAGGCCACCATTTTCACTCTCGTCCTCCGAAGCTGCAGGGAACAAAAGCTTGCAGGGAACAAAAGCTCCCGAGAGCAAACCTGAGCAGATTACTTAGCACGGATGGGCAAGGGCAGGGCAATTGGCAAAGATTTGGGAACCACAGCAACAGGCCCCTCCCCCAGAAGATCAGCAAGAACAGCCAGCCAAGACCAAGTTTACCCATCAATGAGAACGGCAGAACTCCAGCGCTAGG